AGTATGTGCAGGCACCTGAATGCTGGGACTGGAAAAGTAGTACTTACTGAAAGTTAATTCTCTTACGGTAATCAAAGGTTAGAATTTATTTCTGTTAGCAAATTCTGTTGTTTCTCCTCCTTGTAATGCCTAACGCCTCTTGGACTGAATACATTTTGCTTTAGTTATCGTGCATTCTCAGAACTGTACGGAGAATCCTTTGGGAAATGGGGAGGTTGGGGCATCATTGATCTACTCTGCCTTTTTTTCACTTGAGCTGTGTAAGGACTCTTTATTTTCCATTCAGATCCTGGAGGTGCACAGCCATACTAGCTGGGCATTCAGTAAGTCAATAAGTAAGAGAACACACATAATAGAAAGGAGGAGCAGCCCACGATTCCCGCACTGACCCTTGTTCAAGGTGGAACAGAAGTGAGAAACTTCTTTTGAAAGATTATATTCAGAAGAGCCCTTCTTAAAAGAATCTTCTGTGTGACATGGGAAAAGGCTCTGTGTAACGAAGCCCCACGGGCAGTTGTGTTCTGTGCATACCATTAATCTTTCCTGAAGAGAACTCACAGCTCGAGCTGCACTTCTGCCAGGTGACTTGCAACCTACTTGTGCTTTCGTTGTGATACTTGCAGGATTGGCCTGACCTGTACAGGGAGCTCCTTCAGCACTGTTTTCTCTTGCCTGTCAGCATGTGTTTTGGCAGGATGTTGGATGAAAGAAAAACCTGTTCCTTAAAAGTGCTCAGCTTATTTTTGCAGTGTCATGTAGAGCAAGTGACCTCAAGCCAACTGCAGGTTTCTCTTGGAGAATTTCAACTATGCTAGGGGAAATTTTGTTGTGTAAGCTAGGATTGTAGCCAGAGATTGTAATGGTAGCCCTCCTCCAGAAATCAGTCTGTAAACACAGTGAAAAAGGAGCGGGCATTTGGTGCTACGTGGAATAAACGCTATGAGCTCAATATTTGTACATTTGTCATGATGACATAGATGTATCATCTGTCTTGACTCAGCAGAACTGAAAAGTTGGACAATGGGAGGAATGCATCAATGGTCTCTGCCACTGAGCTGTTTTTCTGTGATGCAACACTCACAAGGATAAGCACTGACATTCATGAATTTCTGGAGGAGTGTTTTCTCATAATGAAACATACGTGAGGGAAGTGTGCTGTAGTTTTGTACTTTGAACATTTCTTGTTGTCAGCTTCCAGGATGTTTAGTTTTAACTGAAACTCACTGGAAATCCAGCCACCTGACTGATGTAGGATACGCTTTGGGGAACATCTCTAATGCTATCAAATTCCACACTTAATCCACTGGTACAATTCTCAAAGCGTGAATTCAGCTATTGTCTACAGTGTAACTTCTTCCAGTAGCACATCATGTTGGGAAGTCCTCCTGCTCAGTTCAGTGCTGGTTTAACAATTGTCACTGTTTTTCTTTGTGTTTCCTAGGAGCCAACATCTTTCTTACCTCATCTGGACTGATTAAACTGGGTGACTTTGGCTGCTCAGTAAAACTGAAGAACAACACTCAGACAATGCCTGGAGAAGTGAACAGTACATTGGGTACTGCAGGTAAGGAAGCATGTGTGAGGCAGAAACTTGGCTAGTTACCATAAAAGAAGATAATACCTCTGTCAAAAATAAAGCAGTATGGCTCAGGGAAAATTGGTTTAAGCTTTGCTAGTTAGATGTGCTTTACATCCATTAGCCAAAAAAAGTCAGTAAATGTAACTGGAAAGATAAAATGTTATTTGTCTGGTTAACTATAAAGGTTCTGAAGATTTGTTTTCTGGGATTTTGTCTTTCTCTACAGCCTTTCTGAAGCAGTAGTGTTCTTAGGGGACAGCTGCGTAATCTCTGTGTTTTAAAGAACAAAAATAACAGAGTGCATACTATACCAGTACTTTCACTATTGCTTTTCACATTGAAAGACAGTTATGCTACTAATGTGTCAAACAACAAGAAGGTAAAGCCAGCACATGACAAAACTTTTAGCAAGAAAAGCTAACTGGTAATTCATTTCAGATGTATTGAAAAGCATTTGTTTACGTACTTAATCACTTCAGTTCCTTCTGCTGTATAAAATGATGACACGGTGTGTCTTGTTTCAAAGCATACATGGCTCCAGAAGTAATTACCAGAGCAAAAGGAGAAGGGCATGGGCGTGCAGCGGACATCTGGAGCCTGGGCTGCGTTGTCATAGAGATGGTCACTGGCAAGGTAGGTGTGTCATCTACTGACATAACACAAAATGTCCTTAGCAGTTTCTCTAAAATCTGACTTCACTCCCAGCTGTGAGTCCGCAAGTACCAGGTTGATTTTTAACTTCCCAGGGCACAGAAGTATATGCTTTGTTCCACACTGCGTTACTCACTAAACTTTGCACATTCTGTTTCCTGTTGCAGAGGCCTTGGCATGAATATGAGCACAACTTCCAGATCATGTATAGAGTGGGGATGGGTCATAAACCTCCTATTCCTGACAAAGTGAGTCCAGAAGGGAAAGACTTCCTTTGCCACTGCCTGGAAAGTGACCCAAAGATGAGGTGGACAGCCAGCCAGCTCCTCGACCATCCTTTTGTCAAGGTTTGTCTCACAGCTTTGGCTGCAAAGACTGCAGATGGGAATCAGACCACCTTCAGTTGGCTGTGTAATGTGCAGCTATGCCACAGGGCTTTGTATCATGGCAGGAGGCTGATACTAAGTTAAAGCCCAACAGAAAGAAAGCAAGGTGTGGAAAACTGAGGTGGCACCTGTGTTGTTGCTCACAGACATCTAGCTACAAGAACCTGGCACCATGCAGTATGTTTTGCTGCTGCTGAGGTGCATAGCCCTTATGTTAAAGACTTGTCAAACTTCATGGCAGTTAATTGGATTTGGAGGGCTACGTATGTGTCTAGAGCTTCAGTAAGTATGCATGCAAAGACATATGAAATGAAGTGAGTCGCTATCATAAAAAGTAGAATGAGCAAATGCTTGGGACACCTGCTTTCCTTCAGTAAAAGGGTCAGCCTTTAATTTCACACTGTTACTGACCATTTTCCTGGCAATTGGCACTACTTTAAAAAGCTGCAGTCATTGCATGATTTGGTTTGATTTTTAGCTGAGAATGTTTTTTGCTTATTCTTAAGCAGTGCATTTGGGTGTAGTAAGTAATTGTAGCTAAACCCCATCTGCAACAGAGGCAGAATGAATTGTTGTGGTGACAGTGGAAACAGTTGTCAGAGAGGAACAGTTGTAATGCATTGTATCACTATAACAAGGGAGGAATAAAACTTGCTTATTCCTTCTGTTCAGTGGAAGTTGCTGAAGAGATTGAACCACTGCTATGTTTTTGCTGCAGTACAGACACAACCGAATTCATTGCCTCATGTCCCCTTCACAGGTTTGCACAGATGAAGAATGAAGTTATTCAATCGATGGCCTTTTTTATTCTGGCAAAAAATACCTTTTGAACACTACTGTATGTAATATTTACATAAAGACTGTGCTGAGAAACAGTATAAAAGTTGACTCACGAAGACTGCACAAGTGACAAGCGTCACTTTTCTCTGCTGCTCCTGTATGTTTTACTTGGCACATGTTGCTCACGTGACGGTGTCTGCAAGTTGAAAGAAGCTGCATGTTTCAGTGAAAGTGCCATTACTACTGTATATGGACCATACCTTTTTTTGTTCTTTCTCCTGTTTCTCATTTGATTGAGAACCGTAATGTTAATATGTAGTATTTTTGAACTCTTTAGGTTCAGAAAAATGCTGTAGTGTTATCAGGCGCTATGGACCTTGTTTTTTAAATCTGTTTGTTGAGTGCACTGACTGTGAACTTTTACTGGTTTTTTTGTTTATTTGTTTTTGGCAAGCTTCGGATTTGTTATGCACAAGGCTGATTAATGAAATTTAAAAAAAAAAAAAGTTTTTTTCTCAATAAATGGTTTATTTTAGGAGTTGGTGGTGATGGGTTTTTGTTCTGAAAGTGACTGTGCAACAACAGATGGGGGGGAACTGTCAAGTTGAATTTTTAACTCCTAAGGCTGCAGAGCTGCCAGGAATCAGCATCTCTTTCATTGGTGTAGTCAGTACCTTGACAAATGTAGGAAGCATTCTGTACTGCACAAGGGATAATAGAATTAAGGGTCTCCCTTCACTCTCTCCTGAGGAAATAAGATGATGTGCACTTCCTTATGTTACCTGTTATGTTAGGGATAGATGCCAGGGCTACATTAATTTTCTTCTTGGACACCTGAACTACAGAAAGTGGCCACAGTGTGTCGTGCTGACTAAAAGGAGAATCGGTGAAGATTATTCCTGTATAGCATTTGGCTAAAACTAGAACTTGCTTTTAAGAATTTTAAAAATCAATTTCTGATCCTAGACTTCAATTTCCCTGTATTTTTTTCTTAATAGTCCTCAATCTCAAAAAATGGAGACAGTAAAAGAGGTTAGCAGTTAGAAGAGATGATGGTATGATTATTTTGTTTGGCTTGCTGTTTCAAATAGTTACCTTGCAACTGTTACTTGTTTTAGTGCATGCTTGGGTAAGTTGTTAATCATGGGACTCCCTTTTCATATTCTGTCTCTCTCTCTCCTCTTACTGTAGAAATCCCTGGTTTATTATAGGTGAGACACAGCTGGATGGGCTGCTGAGAAAGAAAATTTAAATCCAGAGATGCACCATCCTCTTCTGTGTGGGTCACCAGTGCTGGATATGTAGGCTTTCAAAAAATACACTGTTCAATTTAAGCAAAGAACTATTCCTGTCTTCTCTACTTCCATTTATGGCAGGAGCGAAATTGCCATCGTCATCCTAGGCAATTGAGTAGGAACATACCTGAGGTTGAGGTGCAGCCCTGGCCTGCTGTGCTCTTCACTTTTTGGTAGTTTGTCTCCTCCTTTGTCTCAGGTGTCCTTGAACACAAACAGGAATCGAGAACGGTTTTCAGGAGTCAGGAGAAAAATGACAACTGTGAGAAGGCTGTTACTGCAGACCAAAAGAAAACTCATTCAATGCACTTCAGCTTTTCACATTTTTATTTTTTTGTATAAACAAATGTAAGACTACTTTTGTTAAGGCAGTTGTAGACCATACAGTTGTTTGTGGTGAAGAAGGGCAAACACTGATTGCTACAGACATAGGTCATTCTTTTAATACAGTGACCAGGGCTAGTTTACCTTTGGCAAGTACCATTAAACCTTCTCTGTTGGCCAGTGAGCACTGGAAGGGTATTGGGTTGCAGCCCTTGTCTGCTGGGACTTAGATCCAGGACTGGCATCTTTGGCCCTGTTACAAGGGCTGCTCCAAGAGAAACCTGTGTGAAATATCCTAAATGTTGAGATAGTTTGTTGAGATACTGTGTTTGGTATTTTCCTCTTGGAGAAGTAGTACTGTGTGCAATAACAGAAAAATGGACTAAGATTGGTAAGGGATCTTAGAGGTCTCTAGTAGCACATTAAGTCAACTGTTCTTTACAAAGGGGGAAAAAAAAGAGCTGTTTTTCATCACATGAATATGTATTTGCTGCTCAGAACTTCTACCTATTTATGGGTTCATTCTACCATAATGAAATGCTAGCTGGAAGAGATGTTTTCCATCTTCCTTTCCCACCCATTTGCAAAGAGTTGTATACAGTGTCTTCAGGGCTGGCTAGCTTCCACTCCTAATGCAATACTGTAGTCTCTCAGATGTACACACTCTGTAATTGTGCTGTCCACTGCTAAGATTGTTTTAGCCAATACAGGTGCGTGGTTGCATTTCAGCACAGAAGGGCACATGCTTTATTAAGAGACAGCTTTGCTTTATATGCATGGCAGTATCCTCTGGGCTCTGGCTATATTTTGTGTGTTAAAGAAATAAACCAAAGCTCATGATTATTCTTATGACACATTACACAACTTACTCCAGTATGCTTCAGAGCACAGGGAATGCATGTGCACAAGAGACAAAAGCCTACAAAACCAGACCCTCACAAAGATGCAAGGCCTATTTCTTCCTTCATATCGTACTTCTTACTAACTGCATTCACTCTCAACAGCTATTGCTGCCACATGCTAAATGCACCGTAGCTGCTCTTTAGGTACTGCATATTTAAAGGATTACTTTCTAGATGATCTGATGGTACAGAACAGCAAATGCATATTTCATTGAATGATTCATATTAGCCTTTGTTGCTTCTGGCTTCAGTTTTATTGTAACAAAAAAATAAATGGTTTTTACGAGCTGCTAGAAATACAACTTGAAGAAAATGTAACATCACTGAACATGCCAAGAATACTTCCCACTGCTCAGTATCAGTAACTTTGGGGTTTAAATTTAGTTGTTGTTTTGTTCTCTTACTTTAAAGAGCAAAACAAGAACAAACCAAGAGGAGGACGTCTATAGCAATCAGTACAAGGGGAATGTGAGAGAAACATGGTTTTCCCAGGGAACTTGATCCTACTTTTATTAAATTCAGAAGGGTGTCAATAAACTCCACCCAGGCATAAAAAACTGCACACCATACCTCTGTCCTAGGTCCCTCTCCCACTCCCTTCTTTTTTTCCCAAAAGAAAAGCAGAAGGTAATTTAAATATTACCTCAGACACTGTTAAGAGGCACTACATAAAGTAATTTTCAAAAAAGACAGACAACAGATTAATTAGGTTCACAACAGTATGGGTGCAGGGCAATAACTTTTAATGCACGCTTTGTATTACTTTGTTACAGCACCCCCAGCTGTTTTCTGTTTCCATCGCTGTTAGAAAGGCCTAGAATTTGAATTTGTGTTTAAAGCTGAAAGTAATTTGTTACCTATTTTTCATTTTCCAAACTATGAATGGCATTTATTCTCAGAAGGATAAGATGTTTCAGCTCTACCACTAAGTATTGCCTAGGCTGTGACAGTGGGTAGCTTAGCTCTCTGCTCAGGCCACAGGCCCAAATTCTTCTGCAGGTTATGCCACTGCAAGGCTCTGAGCCAACAAAACGGGCCCCTAGCCAGTCTGACTGGGGCTGATGTGGTGCTCACTGTGAGGATAAATTCTAGATGTAAAAAAAAATTCTACTGCACTCCTGTCAGTTTAGTAGAGTTGCAATAGTGGTATCACCAAGCAGCGCATCGGACTGTATTTGAACACTGGCAAATTACTGTTTTTTAAACTGCTAACACGTGAGCTAGACAGCTATCAGTTTTAATCATCTTGTAACAGTCTTCTGACATTAATCCCTTCCTTAGAGCAAGCCAAGATAAAGCCCGTACCTCAGCAACCATCAATTAGTTTCCGAGTAGAGTCGCATCATACCAGCACACTGAATTTTTTCTCTTCAAATCTTGAGACACTTTATACGAAAACAAACCAACCAAACAAATGCAAACCTGTTGGGAAGAGTGTACGAAGGAGTGCCTCGTTCAAGAGTGTAATCCAGCCCAAACCCCACAAGAAAAATAACAGGAGTGCAAATTCAGATATGCATGGCAATTGCTCATCCTACCCTTTCTTTGACCTCACTTGAAGGACCATGATATGCACTTAAGAGTTTTCAGAGGTTGCATTTGTTCCCTTTGGGCTGAAGCAGTCTCTGAAGATACTATTTCTGTTTCTGCTTGTTGTCATTGTTGCCATAGGTGGAGCCTTTGTTAATTTCTGTAACACCTATCATCCATCTGACACCAACGGAAGCTGCAAAATAGAAAGAGGATAAAGTTAAAAGCCTTCCTGGAGGCAGAGACTGAAGGTCTGCACATACACAGCATTTTAAAGAGACAATCAGTACTCTCTGCTCTACAGCGTGGCTGTAAAGCACCGTATAGTACAGTGTTACAGCATTAACACCACTGAAGTACTACACCCATACTCCCATTTGTCAGATAACTTACCCACAGTTAATTCATTTTGGAAAAACCTACTTTTGTTTTTCTGGTCTATGTCTTGACTTAGGCCAGATGGCTGCCCTGCCAGTCAGAGGGACCTCAACAGGCTGGAGAAAGAGATTGAGTGGATAATCCAGAAGTTCAAAGAGAAATACCTTAACTGGAATAAGCCTGTGCACCAAGACTGTCTGGAGGGCATCGTACAGCACACAATGCAGAAAGAGAGATGGCTTTGAGCAAGTTCACTGTTGCTCACTGTTAGTCCATGAATTGAAACAAACAACTGCAACAAGTGAAAGATTTCACTCACAAAAACAGAAAAAAAGAAGTCTTTGACATTTGACATGAGCTAGAAGACAGGGCAGGATCTAACACAGAGCCTGCAGTTTGGTATGGTAATGTAACAGTAAGCATGAAATCATTAAGACTTTAACCAGAGGGATAAAAACCACATCTAGAGATGGACATGGAGTGTAAATAAGAGTGACTGTTATAGCAACCACACAGCACAGTGGGGATTTCATAAAGTTCCAGGAATGCTGCTGCCTGGACACCAAAAAATACCAAAGTCAGCAATTGAGATTTTTTCCTTCTCTGCTGTCTGATGGAAACTGCCACTGCCCTTCAATCTTAATTCACCCCACCGTCCTTTGCACCCTGGGGAAGGCTGGGTGCAAGAAAAGACTGCTCATATTTGCCAAGCCTGTGGAAGCACAGCAGGGACAAGTGCTGGGGTGCTGCAGGTTCTTATCCATGCACACTGACTTGCCTCTTCTCCTTTCTAACAGCTGAACTCCCCCCATACTCTCCTTAACCCCAGCAGCTGCTGGGCAGTATTTCAATGTTCTTCCCCAAAAATATATCCACCCAGTAGGGTGCTGCTCACCTGATGATGGGGAAGGTGAGAAGAGAATTGATGGGCTCAAAGCCGGGTGAGAGGGCTACACTTTAAAAAGAGGGTGAAAACACAATTATGGCTGAGGAATACCCAATTCCAAGCATTAGATAATAAAGGTGAGCATCACTGAGCCACTGGGGATGAGAAAAACAGCACAGGAACTGCTCTTCAGGTGTGAATAGCTGTGCTGGGGGTCTCTTCAATATACAAAGTTCAGTTCTAGCGCTGCACTAGACAAAGCCTTGGCATTCCACACTAAATAGAAGTCCAACTTCAGAAACAAAAGGTTTTCTACACTGTTTTCAAAAACCTCATCAAACATCACAGGATGATCACATTACTACTCGCAGATAGAATGCTCTCATCAATATCTACCAAACTTTTGTAGATACTATAGTCCCAAAGTGGTTTTGTGACTACAAAGAGTACCACATAGCAGAACTCGAAAAAAAAAAGAAAAAAGACCACAGATTTAGGGCAAAACCTCTTCTGCAGCATGGCAACTGACAGACTAACTACATTCCCCTTACAGAATGTTGCTGCAGCATATATGAAGACAACTTCCTGAAGCAAACAGGCCTCAGTCAGCCAAATCAGAACTGCAAATGAAGGAAAAGGATAAAAGGGAATCACTTTCTATTTGGTCTTATTAAGAGGGAAAGCTACAGATTTCTTCTTTACTGTTGCAGGGTGCTAAAGGGAAGCTGCCAAATAGTATGTCAGTACAGTACCTCAGGCCTAGAAACAATTCTTACCTTATCGTATGCCCCAGTAACACCGTCATGTTTAAGGACTTCTCTTGCATTGAATATGTTATGGGGAAGAAGACAAAGAAACCAAAGAGAAATTGTTGCTAACCATCAGCTATGAGACTTACAAGCCCCCACCTGAACAGCAGGAGGAAGAAGCTGTCAGCTGGGTCATCCCCATGATGCCCCTTGGCAAGCTGCAGGAGGTAGCAGAGCTCCTGCCATCTTTCTGCCCATCACTGCCTACCTCACAACTGTCACAGACGTTACTACAGACCTGCTCTGCCTGTCAGAGCACCAGGGGCTGAACGAGGGCTGAGTTAACACAAATCAACATAGCTCTGAACATGGAATCTGTTTCTTGAACATTTTTTAGCTCCAAGAAAACCACCATGCACCCACATCACAGTGCCACATAGCTCATCGTAAACCTTCGCTCAGAGCAGAGGACTTCTCCTTTTCTGTCACATCTCAAAACTGCTTTTATCTGCTTCCTGTGTTTTGCACCACACAGCAACTGCAGGAGGGGTACAGAAATTTCCCATAGTCTGCTGTACAGATGTGTTGCATAGGCCATACACTGAAATGAATCTGTACAATTAAAGCTTATAATAACTGTAGAATTTTTTTATTTAGTGTCTATCTTATTTTCTATAACAGAAAAGAAAGAAGTACAGACAACAACAAACATCAAACCCTGCAGCTTTAGGCACCAGGCTCAAAGGCCAGACTGTCTGGCAGCTCCACCAACAGGCAGAAACCTGCACACAGTTTGCATCCTCCTGGTGTTGTAAAGCCTCCTGCAACAACACTGCTGGCTCACCTTCTACTCACTATCCACTCATCTCAGCCTTGCCGCCCAGATCACATCGTCCTCTGACCCCTTGGTCTGCTTTTTGCATTTGGACCCTGTCACATCACTGTCAGATCAAGAGTCATCCCTGTTTGTGATCTATGGAAGCAGGTTTTCTGATAGCACTGTCCACGCACTGTGTAGCAGATACACAACAGCTCCTGCAGAATCAAAGCTGGCTCACTACTACTTATGTTTGTTTCAAACAAAATACTGCTGTCTACAACTGATACTTAACTGCTGGAGCCATGCCATAAGCTCAGATGTCATTATGCTTTTAGCATTAGACATGTAAGAGCTACTGTCAGATACAAATACAAACACTTGACAGACTCACTGTCTTAACACTATAATACCAGCTCCAAATTTTAAACAGTACCTGTGAGTTAACCACATAAATCTCTTGCCACTGTGACCTATGAAACTACAGCTGCTGGAGTGGGTTCAAAGGAAGGCCACTAAGTTGATCAGAGGGCTGGAGCACCCCTCCTATGAAGAGGGACTGAAGCATTTGGGCTTGTTCAGCCTGGAGAAGATTCTGGGGAGGCCTCATCAGGGCCCTCCAATACTTAAAGGGACCTTATAAACAAGAGGGAGACTGATTTTATACACCATCTGATAGGACGGGGGGATAAGATTTAAACTAAAAGATGGAAGATTTAGAGTAGATGCTAGGAAGAAATTATTTACTCAGTGGAAGGTGAGGCACTGGAACAAACCACCCAGGGAAGCTGTGGATTCCCCATTCCTGGAGGTGTTCTGGGCCAGGCTGGATGGGCCCTGGGCAGCCTGATCTGGTGAGTGGCAGCCCTGCCTATTGCAGGGGGTTGGAACAAGGTGATCTTTAACACCCATTCCCACCCAAGCCATTCTGTGATGCTATGAATCAAAAGAGACTTCTGTCTTTTGAGCTGCTTGAGCATTTATCCTCTGGAGCAGGGACTGCCTTGTGTCAGTTCAAGTAGCATCACAAAGGACTCCTGGTCCTAGACCAGTAGTTAGAAATTAGCACAATGCAATGATTATTATGAGTATAAATAGCCAAACTGCTGCACAGCAAGGCAAGAGAGGATGGCTCAGCATTCTCAGTATAAAGAGGAGACATTTTATTTAGGGCTGAAAGGGTTTGAGCTGAACCAGCAGAGCTATATATACCATGGTTATTCATTTCTCAGACCTGAAAGTTAAGTTCTGAGGTACTACTGTGTTTCCACTCCAGCTTGACTGCCATGGGGCATTTCTCTTACAGATTGTTTGACCTGAACAGCCACTAACAAGCCAGCAAGCATTTTACTGGAGAACACAATTTGCAGGGGCTGCTGGAAAGACAAACAGTACTCCGAAAACCGAAAAGTAGAGGATCAGGTAGAACCTCCCAGTCCCTCTTCCCTTTCCTATCACAGAATACTCAGCATAGGAACAGACAGCACAGTAATAAAGGTAATGTTATCATGTATTGAAGCCTGCCCTTTGAAACACTGAAGTCTATCTATAATGGGCGATGAGGAACCACAGTAAGCTTCCTGATGCAGGTGGGCTGTCAGATTAGCATAGACAGCATGGCTGCATCACATCCACGACCTTTGTGACAGACAGAGCCCTCAAGATAAAAAGCACGGTTTGGGGAGAACGGCCCGGCTGCAAAGACTCAGTTATTGGCTACAAAAGGCAGTGTAACTCCTTGGGCTGAAGTTCTGATGCTTCCACAGAATGAGACCAAAAATTTCCAACTGGCAAGGCTGATGTTTTCAAAGGGGTATAGGTTAAAAAAAAAAAAAAGAGAGACTGTAATGTATGAAGGGAACTACTGTCCTTTTAGTGAGTAATGGCACATCCATGTTCAAGCGTACAGGGTTACCAGCTCTGCTCTTTATTTTTATTGAAGGCTGAGCTTTCTTCCTCTCCCACAGACTGTCTGCCCTCCACAGTTTTTCCGAGACGATCAGCTAATAAGTGACATCACCTTTCTGTTTTGCCAGCTCATCAGCAAGAGGTGGCTGGCTGAATCTAATCAAATGATGCCCTCTGCTACAGGCAATTCAGTGCCTTCTGCCACGCTGCAAATCCTGGCCAATTACAGGCACTTTGATTATGATCACACCACGTATTCAGAGAGAAAACAGAGCTGTTGCTAAGCACAGGGGTCTTTCAAATCCCTATAGAGGAACTGCAACCTGCAGCATCCCACAGATGTTGCTGATAATGTATGGTGCATCAATGCAAATCATAAGGTGGTCTGTTAATCTCAGCATTCTTAATGTGCTCTTCAGCTGTGCTTTTGCAGTCTGGATGCTCATGCAATTAATTTGGAAGCCAAATCCTGCTATAGTTCACTCTTAGCTCCAGCATCACAAACAATGTGAAAAAGTCTTTTGGATTCAGAGAACTCATAGCAGTCTATTTATTAATCTTGCCTTGTGGCCAGAAGCAGAAGAATGAGCTAAGTGGGGCATAAGATATCCCCCCCAAAAAGTTTGTTTTCCTGCTTTTTCTTAGTAGCACTATACCTTCTTTTTATAGGGTCTATCCCTCCCTTCCTGATAAAGAAGCAGATGTGATTAGACTGTAAAGACAATCTACATTTACTATCAAGAGATACTAAATGGTTAAGATGGTTCTAGATTTGTTGATGGCAGGCTGGATGCTGTTATTAAGGGCTAAATCTGGAAACATCACATATGACAACACATTAAAGCATTTGGCCTTGAAGTTGAAATCCAACCCCCTGAATTATGCAGTGAGGCTCCCTGTAGAGGGTCTACAGGGCATAAGGCACCTTGGAATTGCAATGGAATGACAATCCCACAGGAGTGGAGAAGCTGAATTAAGAGGAGAATGCTGAAAAAATGATGAGCAATTAAAAAAATTTAGTAGCTGAGCTTCAGTGCCTCATTACACCATAGTTCCACTGCCCAGAACCAAACAGATTACTCCAGCATTTCCTCCAAAGGCAGAATATCAAGTGCTATTGCCAGAGAAGTAGCACTTGCAGTGGTGTCATACCTCGTCCCATTCACCGTTCTGAAATTCTGTTTCTTTTTTAAAGCATATTTGTAATATGCTCAGATGTTAAGCCAGAAGTACACGGGACAGCAGCCATATGAAATACCTGCTTTATAAATCTATGTCTCTTTCTGGATAGGAACTTGTTCATCCAACATGTACTCAATACCTCAAAAAGTACAGACACACAAATGCAATTCTGTCTGCCCAACTGGTCTGGTTCCTCCTTCCATGAAGAACATCATGAAAGATTTTCCTCCTTTTCTGTGGGTCAGCTCCTTGTGTTGTTTTCCTTCCTCTTTTTAGGTAACACAATCACCAAGACAGCCCAGAACTGCTACAGGTACTGTAGGAATCACTTATGGCAGACTATGCCTTATGCTGCATAAATCAGACTAGATGGCCACAACAGGTTACCCCTGCCCTAAATCACAAGTTTATGGACCTCAAATGGATTACACAACAGACTACAATCACACTAGAGAATTCTCAGAGTAAATAAGCTTTCAGTACTTGTAGACATTCAAAGTGAAATCCAGCACCACACTACAGAGAGGAAGAAAGCCTCTCATAGGCAACCCGCTGGAAACACACTGATTTCTACAGAAATAGGAAATTCTGTATGTAGCTCGCAAAAAAAACCCATAGCAAAATACAACTGTACAAAGACAGATAAGACAAGGATCTATCTAACCTGCTCTGGCAAAAGTGGGTATAGTTTCACATGGTCTGTTAAATTCACTAGTCATATGTTTAGTCACAGAGCTTTAGTAAGGACCAGTAAGTCAAGCCAATTATTCTGTAAAAAAAAAACTTCTCGCTTGAGAAAACTTACCCATTACAATGACAAATCCAAAACTAGCCAATGTTAGTGATGATCCACTGTTGATCATATTGACGAGCAGCTTGAATAAGGGATATAGCAGCAATGAGGCCCAGAAAAGCCAATTCAAAAGCGTCCATGGTCGTCGGGGTGGTACTATAGGGACTGCTGGGTAGGTTCCTGTTCGGTAGTACTCTTCCTGGAATGCATCCTGGTGGAACAAAGGAGGGCAACAATTAAATCCCTATCTGCCAACAAAACTATACATTCCTGACTTTGATGTTTTGTCTGCATTTGTAACCATGGGGAGAGATCAAAGACCAAGTCATGGTTGGAAAACATGCACTTTGAAGTCATGAGCATATAATCAGAAAAAAAGAGCTTACAAGGATGCATATGCATCCTCCCTTTCTCTTACACACAGAAGCCTGAAAAATAGCATGCCTAGAGAGTACAACAAATCCAGTAAGGAAAAATGGGTGAGGAGATGAACACTCTTGCAGCTACTGTTTTGCACTTCTTGCAAGAGCTGCAGCCACTGGATAAATAGTAGAGGTAAACCATAGAAGTATTTGGGCTACATCTGCAGCAGCAGATCCTCTGCTCCCTAATGTTCTTCCATCCACTGCTCTAAAACAGCCCAGTCAGAAAAGATGAGCAGACACCATCTTGTATCATCCAGCAAAGACACCTCCCACTCCTGATCACTGTCCCATGGAGATAGTCTTACTTATCTTGTTCCCATGCAGTCAATGGAAGAAAGGTCTGTCTATAGACAGTTGAGCATACAAATAGTTTAAAGTGTCTTTCACTGTTTTTGATGGTCTTGTTTAACAGAGAGATAGTAGGGTAGGGTTTGGTTTGTTCTGTGGTTTTGGGGCACATGTGCTGTTGTGCTTTGTTTTGTTTTTTGAAGCACAGAAGGGTTAGAATTCAGTACTTTTCTCTAACGTGGGTGAACACCATTGCCTTCAACAAATGTGATCAACATAACATATCAGAGCTGGTGGGAAAAAAACAAACAAACATCTTCCTTCTGGTTCCAAAGCAAAGATTATTAACCTGATTAACACAAGACTAGTTAATTGAGACAGAATTAGACTAACGTAAGGAACCCCAATTAAGTCAGAATGAAGAGCCAAATTTCTTCAAAGAAAGGAATGCTTCATGATGGTTTCAAAAAATGCTGGCAAAGCCAATATCGTCCTATCTTCTACTATGCTATGATTTTACATTTACTTATGCTCCAGCTGACATGGACAATTCTTTAATTATTTAATGGCAATCTGAGCAATTACAGGCTGCTACCATTTTCTCTAATTCAAAGGGAGCATTTAGCTTCTAAGAGATTACACAGTAATTAAAGCATTGCTCTCTCTTTACTGAGATTAGAAAAATTATGATTGCTTTGCTCAAGTGAACTAGATTGTACTAGGATCATTATGACCAATTAATTAGTTGCCTTCAATAAATTATACAATGTATGAAGTCCTCTTTACAGTGCTTTGAGGATTTCAGCTTATGACTGGTTTAACACAGTTATTTATCATTGGCAAATTGAATTCTACTATATACATTGGGCCTTCTAAATATCAGCATTACCTACAAAAATACGAACAATTTCTGACTGTTATTGGTAACACCATTAGAGGGCCTATTACTACAGACTGCAATACAGACACTGAAAAGCAGCAGCATATTTTCCCCCTTGTTGGCTCTGCACAGCTTTGGAGTCAGCAAAACCACTGACCCTATCTCACCCAGATGCTTGAGAGAGATATAAGAAATACATAATGGACAAATGGATGTCACTGTCTTCACCTACACTAACATATTACACACCACTGTACAGATCAGCTCCTTAATTCAGTTAGGAATTCCTTGCCCTTAAAAACATTCCTGTTCCTCACAGAACAGATTCATGTGTTGATCTGTTTTCTGAGACTTAGAGGGTGCCCATGGTACCCACGTACAGCTCAGGACAGTATTTAAATCCATTATACACACCAATAATCCCCACAACCATCTCCCCCACAATCATCTCCTCTCATTCAGAGATTGTTTTCCATTTTCCATTTGTAATAAGTTCCACCCACTCAAGAATCATTTTCAGATGTGGAAGAATGCTGATACTAATGATTCCACCAAACTTGAGTTTCTTCAGACACCGAGGTGAATAATGCAGTAGCAAAAAAGGCAGGGAAAATCCATCATCTTGCAAGAATCTAACTGGATTTTTGCTCCCTGCTCCCACCAGGGAGGTCTAGCTACAAAACGATGCCACTGCTCTTCCACAAAGAAATCCTCAAAGAACAAGTATCCAAAAATATACCCTTAGTTCCCAAACACTTGAGTTCTGTACTCCTTCCTTCTTCGCTTACCCTTTACTAATTCCCTGAGGCATTTTGGCATATATTTTCATGCCCTGTTTTCTCTTACAAATGAGAAGAATCAAAAACTCACTTTCTTTTTAATGGAAATTAAGATTCTCAAGCAGAACTTTATTTCAGGAGCTGAAGCTGTAAAGAGGTACAAAGAAACAAAACATGCAAAGGCTAGCAGGCCTAGCAGAGCTGTGACAATTATACAATACCTCTTCAGACTGGGCACTAACATGCATTAACATGCTCAATCTATTTCTTATTAAAGTCAAAGGGAGCCTTTCTAGTGGGAACAGTTTAATAAAAGAAAAATAAAAAAAAAAGAGAAAAAGCCAATTTGCAATCCCAAGTTGCACCTTTGTCATGAGCCAGCATTAGCTGAAACAGTGCTGCCTGTCTGTGGAAGGACAAAAATCACCATCAGCAGAGGAAGAAGCACAAGGGCATGGCATCTGTGTATGCCTGGAAGCATAGGAAGGAGAACAGCGCTTGGTTTGTAATAGGGGGTGCCACTGTTCATCCATAGAGGACCTGCTTGGTACATTTGCAGCATGGCTACATCAGCAAACAGGAGTCTGAAGCAGAAAGAACATAAGGCAGATTCCCAGAGAGCAATATCTCTGATTGAGGAGCGTGTAACTGAGACCAGGCAGTGAAGTAAAAAAGACAATACAAGCTTTTCTCAAAGACCAGCTCCTTTATTAATGATTAAAAAGGGTCATGTCCCTTGATGCCCACTAACATCATATGTCTTCCCTCATTCAAACAGCTTTGTGTCCTTGATGATAACAAGTGCCCGTTACTCCATGCCACAGCTGCTACACTACACTACTAGAGTAGTGTACACTACTAGAGTACAATCCAGCTCTGGTCAGTAGGGAAGGGAAGGATAGAGGAGCTTACATTAACTTAATCCCACACTCAGATGCTAGAAGCAAAATGTATGTTTTCATGCTTTGGGGAGAGCAGGACTCTACAGGAGTGATTTTTTCACATATAAGCTAGAGCAGTTTGAATCACAGCTTGCAGAATGACCCTGCTTCTGCTCACCCCTTTTATTACCATGGCCTTGCAAAAAAGACAGGGCAGCAATTTCTGGTAGCTCTTGGAGCTTCACAGCTGATGAATGCCTCTGAGTGCACCTGCATAACGAGAGGCACATTGCGGGGCAACTCTGCAAAGAGCACATAATTCATCTGTGAAGGTGTGCCAGAGCTGGCAGTCAGTGCAAAGTGCAGAAAAAGCTCAGACTGCCGTGAACCAACCGTGCTGCATGCTCTTTTCCCCCCATAAGGCTTGAGGGAGTATTGCAAAATTACAAATGTCACTGAGAACAAGCAACAGCACATGCAACTGGAATGCAAGATAAAACGGGGAATCTGATTTTCAGTAGTGTGCATACCTTGTCTTATTTTAAAACAGTAAGTGGAGTGCTACAACCAAAATAGACAAAGCAGCTGGTGAGTGCATATCTTGCAATGAATTAGTGTCCTTTGAACAAAACTTCATTAATTTTTATCATTAATATTTACTATTGATATATTTTTATATATATATTTATCTTGAGATATAGGCCTAGCACAGTTTTGGAAGCAACACTCTGTATCAATGCCACATATTATCTCACCTAAGAGCCAAACGTTGTCTAAAAGAAATACGGCAGAAAGGTGAAGCAGACTCTGCACAATGGCCTTCATTATCTCAGAACTCTTTAACAAGTTATCCCTGCTCTGTATCCTGAACAGACTGATTTCACAGAGATGAATGATTGCAATGAAATACCAAAAAACAGCTGAAGAGGAACAATGCCATCTTCCAATCCAGAGCCAACCAACCAACAAAAATAACAAAACAAATCCCAAGACGTCCACACTAACAAAGCTTCTCAGGGAAAGAAAAACTGAACATAAGCTCATCCCTCCTATGCTTCGATGGGAAACTATGGATTCAACCAACCAGCAAACTAAGCTGTTAGGAAAAAAGTAGGATAGATGTATACTCTGTTTGCACTAGAAATAAATGCCAGAGAGAAAATAACAGAATACAAAGTGAATTACTGCAAAGGATGTCATAGAGAATTCAAGAAAACAATTCCCACACTCCCATTTAATTTATGTTCCTTCCTGCAAATCTCTCAATATTATCTTAGCAACATGATACATGGTTAGAAATAAAGGTGTAGTAGCAGGAAATTGACTTTTTCAATGTCCAATAAAATGACTTTTTTCATTAATATTCCTGTAGAGAGAGCACACAGGCCCATAGGTAACATGCTGCCATTCTGCAGAAATGCATTAAGAGGCAGTGACTGAATGTGGAAGGCACAACTTACAGAAAGGGAGCACCAGAAGCAGTTAGGTCTATAACTGGAAATTCAATACACATTTACTTTGCATATTCCTGTATACAAGCTGCTTGCAGGTAACACTGATTAAAGTAGGAGTAGTCATGGTTTGAAGTGGAGAAAGACTATGGCATAGTCAATACAGAAATGCTAGCATGGTGTTCTGGGTTGAGTACAACCAGCTCCATGGCAATGAGTGGAAAACAGAACTTAGCTACAGTTTAAAATTTCTAAATCCTAAGCATTGCTGTATTCCAGTCTAGATGACTGAGACCATATTGTGCTTTGTGTACCTATGATCCCACTGACTGAAACAGGAGCGCTGTGTGTATTCAAGGAGCGCATACCCAACCATTATTTCTTATGCTCATAAAAACAAAACCCACAACAAACAGATTCTGAAAATCTGAAGGATGGATACAAAAGCATTAGAAAAAACCAACGGGCATCTACAAGCACACAGTCATTATTATTCTGCAACTGTCCTATGATTAAGAATCTGAAATGCACCCTCCCATTGCTATGTGCAAATAAGAGAGCAATTTATCAACTTGCCTGGTTAATGTTGGATATTTGCCCTGTAAAAGAGACAGGCTACAAAAAGGGACGAACATTTTAATATACTAAAGCAAAATATACATCATTTAGCCCACTAATTTCTTCTTGATTAAGGAGGTGCCTCTTCTGCAGAAGAGGAGGCAGTCGCTATTCTGTATACTTCCTCTATAATAGAGCCTTAAAACTGCTCCTTCACTGAGGTTTGCATAAGTTTCCTTCCTCTTGCTCTTCAGAAAAAAAAGAAAAAAAAAAGAAGGCAACTTAGCAGTGCAAGACCTCTCTGCATCTGAAGAAGCACAACACTTGTCTGTGAAAAACAAACAAACCCACAAACTTGTTGAAAAACAAACAACAAACCCACAAACCCCCAGAGCACAACCACTACATATGAACACTGTAAACATCTACTAACACTATAAAGAACTGAGCACCAGTGGCTCATGAGCCACCCTCTGGACAAAACACCAACCTTTTCTTGATATAGTCTGTGGAGCCAATTAGAACACTCCTGCTCATCTTCTGGGATTTCTTCTAATGGAATCCTCCTGCCAATAGTAAACAAGAGAAATTAAAGAATATTAAATAGTTCTGCTGTGACAAATAGCACATACACTGCAGAGGGAGATCACTCACCTGACAGGGGACTCACTATACTCATCCCACCACTATTTCATTTATTAAATAATTTGTGGTAACAGCTCCCAGATCAGAAAAGTATCGTTTTGCTTCTAGAGCTACCTTGAATTCTCATATGTATCTGAAACTCAAATATTGATTTCTGAAATAGTAATGCATTCCACCTGAGCTCACCTTCTAGCCAAAGGTTTCTAATTTTCTGTTTCTAAAGAAAGGTACTGAATGAGTTGATTTCCTATCTCACTTAAGTAGCTCAAGGCTGTGTTTAACAAGCTAGGCACCAGAGAGAACACACTGTTCTCATAACTAGAGTAAAGCAGATCTAATATTTTTCAGGTAACTTTTCTGATTCATTAAAATTTTTCTAATGTGCATGCTGCTTTAGATAATTTCTAGCAAAATGGCTTCTTTCACAGAAAAATCCCACTTAGAAAAAAATAATTCAACAAATTACGTGAACTTTGGTGAACAATTCTGTGACAGAAAAAAATCCCTTTGTCATCTCCACTTAGAAATGCCAATAACAATGTTTAATAGATTTTATATTTTTCAGTATTATATATAGTTTAATTCATCTCAGTTGAGAACAACATTGAATTAACTTCTTTTAGCAAAAGAGAGAATACTGTGTAATAATCATTACACAGCTTGTCCTAGGCAGGGAGGCAGAGGCAGTCAGTTGTTGGTAAACAGCTACACCAGATAAGAGAACAGTCCTGAGCTTGGCTTCCATCTAGAAACAAACCACTGTGCCAGAAGGGAAGTGTGCAGATGAGGTTTCTTGACTCCTGCCTCTGGTGCAGGCCTCAATTAAAAAAAATAATAATAAAATCCTGTACAGCTCCAAAAGGGTCCTCATGTCCTTACAGTTGCAGAACATTACACAAAACCCTGAGCAATCCACATGAGTTTTTCTATCTGGAGCACTCTGACGCCAGGTTGGTAGAGATTTGCTACATCCATTACCTGCTTGAAAATATTTCCTTATTTGTGCAAGTATACGCTCTCACACGCCAAAAAAATAAAAGAATTGAAATGTAGATTACTTGCCTTACATATAAATCTGCATGGTATTTCTTTCCATTTAGAACGCCCAGCAATGTTGGATTCTCATTATTTCTAAAATTGAGGGTAGAATCATAGACGGCTGAAACTACAAGAAGAAAAACAGGTTATGTGACCAGAGAAGTAACAGAATGGAAAAATCAGTCATCCACTCTCAGACAAAGAGAATACTTACACACAAAGTCATCAGCACAATAGTTTGAGCTACCACCAAAGTAAAGTTAACGACTGAATATTCAACCTGCAAGTTATCAGAAGCCAAATATCCAGTAAACCTCTCAGGAATTATACCAGTAGAATGGATGAATTTGGTCTCCATGCTTGTCTCCTTCCCCCAGCAGACATCAAACACTGAGTGTGGGGAACATAATGACTGTTTATATATCACAGGGCATCCTAGAAGCACTGTGCTTGGAAAACTATCAGCTTTCTTAACTCTCTCTGGATTAGACACTCCTCTCCCCATTCTCCTACAGGAAACAGGGCAAATAACCAGGCAGAAAAACACACAGTGAACAATATATACAGTTTGTCTAAGAATGGGTAAAGTTCACCTGAGATAAATCCTGCAATCAGAGGGCTGGATACAACTCCTGCTTAGGGTTCAAAACAATCTCCCTTTCACATCTATTCATGGATAACAATGGCATTTGCTAAAGGGCACAGGCAGGGACAGATTAACAGAACTTGACCTGTGAGAGCTGGACTACTGCTAAGGCTGCAGCTATGATGAATATAATATCTGAGTTCCAAAGAACTGAACTGCAATGAAGCTTGTAGCCCAAAGAGAACACTTTCTCCATTTCAGGACTGCATAGAAACAGTAAAAGCACTTGGCAAGTGAGGTTTTTTCTTAGCTGAACTAAGACAGTGCCAAAAAATAGTTTCTACAGAGAAAGAGTTTTCTGTTTTAACTCAGAAAAAGCGTTTCAGAAGAGATTCTTTGAACACAGGAGACAAAAACTTTTGACGAATTCATGGTACCAACATGCCTAAGGCAAGGGAGTTAGTTGGAACTGGATGATTTTTAAAGTCCCTTCCCACTCAAACCATTCTATGATTCTAAAATATCCCTAAATATCCTAAACTTTTTTTTTTTTTTTTTTAATATGTCAGAAAACAACTGAAACTGGTTGTGCATCACTTTAGCAATTCCAAGATCAATTGCATCAATAAAAACCAAACTGACTAACATGTGCTTTGTTTAATATCTTCTGCTCTAGAGTTTTGCAGTAAGGAACACTATGGTGGACTTTTGTTGTGAAAGGTGTTGACCCCTCCTAAGGAAGTGTTCTGTTACATAAAATAGATTTGGGTTTATTTTTGAAATTTATTTATGTGAGACAGTTACGGCTTAGTCATAACATTCAGTCCAGCAGAAATTCCCCCACAAAGCAGAATTCATATCCTGGAACAGAATCCAATTTAGTGCTGCAAGGGAATCCTGGAAATAGAGACTTAAACTTTGTCACTACATGAACACTGTATCCCTCAGACTTAAGTCTATTTTTTGTACTACAGTTGGGTTTTTGGCCTCAGCTCAAAACTACAAATTGTAAGCCAAAATCTGCTTCAAGTACACTACTTTCAATGTACAATAAAAATAGGAAATTATTTTGAAAAGAAAAAGTAATCTACCTTCACTTTAAATCTCTGAAGTGCAGAAGATTTTACTAATCCACTCTAATTTACTAATCCAGTGTAACTGAAAATAAGGTAGCTTGTACAAGGTAGACTCATTAGTTTAGAATAATCTCAAACTACTAAAGAAAAACAACAAAATGAAAACAACAAAGGAAAGCATGATGCATCCAGCCTGTATTTTGATATTCTTTCCAGCTCTTTTTCATATCATGCAGAAATCTTTTGCTGGCAAAGCAGTATCAAATCCAATATAACAACAACATATGCAGGAGTAAATAGACCCCTATTATATCTGGATATAAAGTAACTGAAGAGCTAAGCTTTTCCATTATGAAAGTGCAGGAAAAGACATATTGTGGAGGTGTCAAAGAAAAAGACTTCACAGGATTAAAATTTGCCAGAAAGCATTTGCCAAAGCAGCATACTAGTACACTATATGACATACTGAAATTGTTTTCCACTAAACAAGTACTTTGCATGTATTATTCCATATGTATTTATATATATATATAAACACATATACAATTATACACATTTTTGTATATAGTAGAACTGGAAATCTCATGACTTTCACATCCAAAAGCTTAAGAAATTTCACGTTCTAAATCAAGTAAAAAAATACCTTTCATAGCACCTTCAAAATATTCCATCTGTCTTAGTCTCAGACCAGTTCTTCACAAGCTTTGCTTTAACTATGAAATGATATATCTCTCAAAGAAATTACCTTAAAACATTTTTTTTCATTAACAAAGAAAGATAATTCATTATTGTGGAGCCTTTTGAGAGAACAACATTTTTTCCCATTTCAGTTGCTATTTTCTGACATTAAATAAAGACATAAATCTCATTTTTGTTTTCTAATCTAAATCTACTTTGGTTCTCTATACAGAATTCTGACAAAGAACTATATAATTAAGGAATTGGGATTAATAATGACCTGGGGTTTAAGAAATCTTTGAATTGTGTATTTAGAGATTTTTTTTTTACTTTTCTTCTCATACACTTTAAAAAAGATTTTTTTTAATTGGCCTCTTGGATTTCACACATTATTTTGTGAACATTGAAAACTATGGCTGGATGAATGTCCAACAAATCAACCTGCCTGCAACATAACCTCATTCTAGCAAATAACAACCTGAAGTGAAGATTACAGAGCAGAGTGGGGAAAAGAAAGTGGAATTCACTGTACATTTTGGCACAATCCGTTAACATTTAATAGCTCTGGTTATCTTACTTAAAATAATCTACCTGCTCAAACTTGCTAACTTGCTGAGATCTAAGCACTGAAGAATTCCAGGACTGAAGAGCTGCTCATGGAAATTCGTCAGCATTGCCATAATGAACTCCATGAGAACATCACTGTGGAATTCGTTCTTGTGCACTGCCTCTAGGACAGCAGTTTCCAGCATGCACAATTGTAAGAAGTTGACAACTTGGAATTATCTGCAATACGTCTTGAGGTACATTTATGAGGTAGCCTTACCTAAACAAGAACAGCTGAAACGAACTACCTGGTATATAGACAAGGCAACACAAATAACCATTAAATACATATTTTACAGTATTTATCACATTTATCTTTACTTTGAGTAATGAATAGGTACTTTAGAAACAGATCCGTGTTTTCATTTGCTTCCAGCTGAGCTGTACAGGCAGCAAATTCTACATTATAATCTAACAACAATTTATTAGGACACCACACAACCTCTAGAAATGACAAAGCTGGTAACTCTGTCTGTTACTTGTGAGCTGGTAGAGACAATCACTCATTAAAATATCAGAACTAATTTGAAAATCCTGAAAGCAAGCCTTATTTAAGGACACCTGAACTTGTGAAAGTCACTAAAGGGAAGTGAATTCCATTATTTCTTATGAAGGAAAGAGACTAAATAATCCTGGTTATTTTATGTTATATGTGAAATATTTTAGGAAGGGATTATTTCATTAAATGATCATTTTAGAATAAGACTTTCTGAATGACATTTGCAGCCATTACAGTAGTATCAACCTCTTGAAGTTATGGTATTCTACAGAGGCACCATGGGCAAAGATACTCTTCCTGTTATAAAAAAAGGTCACTGTGATTCCTTAGAGATGGAAAACAAACCTCTACACCAGAGGTTCTGACAATACAAATGCATTCACTCACACAGGCGTATAAAGTTATCTCTATTTAATTTTTAGTGGGAGGAGGGGTAATAAATTAGGAGATAAGTTTGTTTGTTATCTGTGTGAAAGATATTTTTGCCAAATTATGTATCTGCTTATATTGACAGATGTGGTGTCTACTGGTGCGGAGACAATTTCTCATACATACACATGAAATACCAATAACACACAATAAACCCCATCTGAGGCTAAATTTTTCAAAACATGACTTTACTAGACTGATTTCATCTGCATCTGTTTCCAACAGACAAAAAACTACCGCAGAAAGTAGCATCAGAGGTTGAAACGAAGTTTTGGAATGCATCAACCTGTGATCGCTGCTTTTGTGTCTGAATTATATTTCTACTACCACAGCAACCACCTTCCACTCATCCTACAGTATTTCAGCCTCAGAGAGCTGGAATCTTACAATTTTCAGAAAGAGGAGCTAAGAAAAGAGGAAAATGAAAAGCTGACCTTGGTCACAGCCAGCTTGGAACAGGCATTTAGTTTTCCTTCATTGCTATAACAAGCTGCAGTTAACTCCCTTAGCAAAATACTCCAGCTAGGCCCACCACCCCTTCTGGAAGAGCAGAAAGTGCACTAGCCTAAGTGGCAGATCCCAAAATGGGCTTTTTCACACAGAAGCATCATTACAGTGGCCACAACAATGCTCTTTGGAACAAGTAATCTGGTTGCAATATGAGGGATACAGTCAGTTACTGTGCCACATAAGGAACAGTGAACAAGTTAACAAGTGAAGAAGTTAAATATTACTAACTAATGTAAATATTCAAAAGAAAAAAATGTCCAAATTACTACATCATAAATACTCTGCATATGTTGACACCTACAGCAACACTTTTTTTCCTTATAACATGGGTACACCCCACCACTTATAACATGGTATGTGTGCCGTGCCTGGCAACATTCAAGGTCAGGCTCTGAGCAACCTGATCTAGCTGCAGGTGTCCTTGTTTATTGCAAGGGAGACACGGCCTACATGGCCTTTAAAATGACGGTCAAATGTACCCCTTGTCTCTGTAACAGAGAAACAAATAGTAACCCAGATCTAATTACCTCTCTCTCACTCCAGAAAGTGACAGTGCAAGTAAGGCAACATACCCACAAGAACTGCAACACTTATCAGGGATCATCAGGCTTTTCCCTCTGTTTGTTGGCTGGTTTTAAGTTACATAGTTTCAACTACCTATGAACCCTCACAAAGGAAATCTTACCTCCTCAGCCTTTACCCTGATAAATCCAGCAAGGATTGAGGTAGTAACATACTGTTCCCTAAATAAGTATTCTATGGAATCTAAGTCTTTGTTGTCCTGAAAGTATATCGAATATTTAGGATTCTAGAAGTACTACCGTGGCTTATCTCATGAATACCTCAAACTTTCTATAAACCTATAACCCGAGTACCCTGAAACTATTTCCTTTTGGAATATTTTCCCATAAATCAGCTGCTTGTCCACAGCCACGCTAGGTTTTGTTTTCTTCATACTGAATAGCGACAAGAAAAACAAATCACCACTAAAATCACCTGCCCTTGACTCCCCAGCTCAAGATACTGGAGGTCAGAGAGTTCTGACTCAGATCTTCTTCAGTGCCTCAGGTCTTTCTCCCCTCCTCCTCAGCAAAACAGTCTTACTTAAAAGGGAAGGTTAAACTGTGCCGTTCAGGAAGTTGCACATGACCTCCATCTACTTCATGTATCAGAAAAGATCCAAGCAATGCCATCCATTTTGGGGGTGGGAAATCACTGATGCCTGACAAGCTACAACAGTGATATCATCTACCTGACTTGAGAGAGGATATGAAGAAGAGACATGACAGACAGCAAGACAGCTGACTGCAAAGTTGTTGTGTTTTTTTTTTGTTTTTTTTTTTTTTTACATCAGCTATCCCAGATATGCCAGATGAAAACACGTCTTCAAAGACAAAAGAAGCTTTGACATTAACTTCAGTCATGCCAGAACATTTTCTTCTAAACCACCAACTACTTTGTCTTCCTTACATATCAGCCTTCTAACAGCACATAAATCCACCAAAGCCCAATTTAGCAATGGGTGCAATTTAGCACTATTTTTCCCTTGTCCTTGAAGTACACAGCAGAAGACTTAGCTGGATTTTCTTAGTCAAACAAGATCACTTCAAAGGCATTTGTGCCGCATTCTTACTGATGGCACTCTAAATTGGTAAATTCAGGTAACCAGAAGGAGGGAAGTAGGGGGTATCAAACAACATTAACAACGAAATATTTATTCATACTTTCTAATTTGTTTCTAAACTTCTCCTACACATATCTTCAGAAAAGGTTGACTTCCCACATGTCTGCTCCACAAAGGTTACCAAAACTCTCCGGAGTATATTTAGGCAGACATTTTAAAGTGTAACATTCTGTTGATAAAAAATGATACTTATATTTGCCATAAGAAAACATTTAGGATGCATTCTTAGATTCTCTGACTTATTGGCTTCATTTGGAATAGGAATTCTTAATAGTATAGCAAAAACTAAGAATCATTATCCTTTGTGAATATATAGAAAACCCAGAGCTGGGGATTCCTCAATACAATGACAGAGCAGAAAGCAAAAACAAGAAACTAATGAAGCTGCCCCCAGCTTTTGCTAGTCAAACCTGATTTTAATTTTCACAGACTAGTGGAAGAAAGCTCAGAAAAGATTCCAGCATTCTTCTGATAAAACATGCACTATGGGGAAAAGAAGAGCACAGCAAAGTGAGAGCAGGTACATGAAATAACCATTTAGCATGTTCCTTGTGACTTTCCTTACCTACATTTCTCAAACACTGCACGGTGACAGCAAATCCTTTTGTTCGTGGCAGTAGGTGATATTTGAGCTTGGGCAAGCCTTTGGCTTCAGCAACCTGCATGCTAGCCTGGTGCTTCTGTTCTGTGAACCTTGTTCCCTCACAATGAATCAGGAACTAAAAAGTAAGAAAGAACAGCAGTCAGAAAACAGCTCAGGTTTTCTACACATGCTTGACCAGAGCCCTCACTGATTCCCACCAATATGGCCCAAACAAACACTGCTAGCAGGGACACAAGTAGACAAATACTCTACAAGGCAATTGCCCTGGAACTACTGAAAAAAACCACAAAACTCTCTTAATTGCCTCCACCCATGTAACTTACCACCCTGTGGTTTTTAACATCTGCTTTGCTGCTCATGACTAAATGACTTGATTTCTCCAATGGGTCACTCCTTCTCTAAAGAGATGTTAGGAAGCAGTCAAAACGCATTTTCTATTGCACGTCTCCTAGTGATGCAGGGGTGCTCCAGTATCTAAAACTCGTGAAGTGTTTGAACCAAATGCAATTCTAGGAAATGCCTCATTAGCCCACTTGCTTTCACTAGAGCACATGGAGCATAAGCAACAGCAGATACTAGCTTTGATGACAAGGACGGTGCTGATAACATAGGTAGGGCAGTAGATGCAAGAGAACTCTAAGTCTCAATCCCTTGTGAACCACACAGTTTAACTGCTCAGATATGAATTACAATTTTTTTCAGTGTCAGGAAAGGGAGACCATAGGGATCTTCAGAGATTTAGCACATGCTCATGTGCTTTCTGCCAAGCCTGAATCCAAATTAATGCATCAGAGAGCAGTGCATATTGCATCAGTGAAGTTTCAGTAACCCACAGCAAAAATTTAGCCCACTAGACAAAGAAACCTGAAGAAACCTGTCCAAGTTTCCAGCTTCAGATCCAGCATATCTAGGAGCACTTTTACTCACTTATAACGTGCATCATGTTAAATAGTCACATGAAACATACAGAAACTGCTGAGAAAACCCTTCTAACACATCTAGCACGCTCTGCCTTCCTATGTACAAGGTGCTACCACTATGCCTTTTGACATTATATCATTCCACCCAGAATAAATCCAACTGTACAACAGCAACTAAATATTTTCTATTACAGGCATAGCCTCCTCTTAGAAATCCTTTCACAGCAGCATATAAAGGATGGTGGTAATTTGAGTTTACCAATTAGCATTGAACTGCCTACTTCTGCAAAAATGCATTCAACACCTTTTGCAAGTGAAAGAGCACACACACATCCAGCTCCTATATTTAGAGAACTGGAATCTGCCTGAGAAGAGGGGTTGGACTTGATGATCTCTAAAGGTCCCTTCTAAGCCCTACAATTCTGTGATACTGTGAAAGATTATTATTGATCATGGCGGGGACATTTTTCAAATAACACCTGTAGGGCTCCATAGAGGTAGAAAACAGACAGCTTAGACTATTGTACCAGAAATTCAAAATAGAATTCAGCTCTCTCATAGTATTCTCTGGATACTGCTAGGAAGTTCACAAATCAAAGTTCTCAGAAGCAACGTGGTTACCAATAGACACTACCTACACTTCCATTCTTCCAGGCATTGCAGCACCTCCCACTCCTCCCATTAGTCATCACTCACCCAAAAGTTTTCAGGGTAGTCCCGGAGATTCAGCAACTTCTGCATAACTGTTTTCCGATCTTCCTCCCACTTACGCTTGCAGAAGACTATCTCCAGGAAATACCACATCCAGCCGATGATAGGCATGTAGGAGAGCTCCTTCTTTGCCAGCACTTTGGAACTCTGCAAGATAGAGTGAAAGGAAGTAAGACAGAATCACACCATTTACTGAGTTCTGTTTGGACGTGGCACATGCATAGCTAGATAGTAATATGGAATCATATATGGATCTGTTCCAGCTTCAAAATCAGTATGAAAACAAAACAAAGAAGAATTTTCCTTGCATGACACAACAGCCAGATCTACTAAACACTCATAAAGCCTGCATTGTACAATAGCGTATTGAGGCATACATCTCTATCGCAAATGCTTTCCCAATGTAGGAAATCTTAAGTACTAGAAAAATCAGCAGTAATACAAATACTTCCTGCGTGTTCAGATTTGTTAATGGAAAGGCAGAAATACTTACACTAGCAAATTTCTCTCCAGAGCATTCTTCTGGAATAAAATAAGCACCATTCCTGCCTCACAGGTTTGACACTGAAGTGATTTATCCACACAATGCATAACAAGTCTATTGCTTATCAAGGGTTCAACTCATTTCAAATCTCAAATCCTACTCTAGATTTCAGTCCTGTGATTACCTCAGAACAATTCTGCTTTAGGCACATTTGACTCCAATTGCTCATTTTCTACTTTTCAAGTCACTCTGCACTGGTGAGCTGTCTCACTTTCCCATTCAGTGAATAAAAAAGTATGCCACTGTGAATGCGTGTGTACACAAAAATTATTTCAGCAATCCCTGAGATAGCTGCATTTTCCTAGAGGACAGCAGAAGCAATTACACAATCCAGTTTCTATCTGTGATATCATTATAAGCAGTACCATGCTTGTGCTCTGCAGATGGGTTCCAGGACATGGCATCTGACTAGAAGATGTTATTTACTGGTAGAAATTATGAACAACTATTATTTGCTTTTATTTCCTTTTTTAGTTGCTGTTGTTCATTTGGTTACTAGGAGAAGAGATTTGACCTAATTCTTTATCTCAGTTCACTTCTTTCATCTACTCTCTTTCCTTGAGGAAGGAAAATACCTTAAATAATTAAGCTATCTAAAGGCTTATAAGAGTGGAAGGCAAATGCACATAAATAGCTTCCAAGTGACTGTTACACAGAAGAAGTGGAAAAAAAAGACATGAGAATTCAATTCCTAAGAATGCAAGAACTTACACTTCAAATAATTGAATACTTTATAACAAAATTGTCTCTCTCAGTCATTTGGAGACTGAGTGATGGGGCCAGACCATATCCCTAAGGCCTGCTCTCCCACAAGGAGCAGCTGGAAGACTCAGTAGCTGAAGCTGAGGCAGCCTTTCTGCAATTTCAGTTTTTCCTGGACGTTAATCCACGCTGCACAGCAGCAGCAACACTGAGCCCAGCCTCCTCTTCCAGCTCCCCAGACCAGCCACAGGGAAAGGCTCTCCTCTCACCACCTTCCTTAGCTCTCAAACTTTTTTTGCCACAGTACTGCTTTTTCTTCTCTCAGTTACTTCTAATATGAGTCATCCTCTTATTTCCAGAATAAAGCTAAACAGTTTCAGTATACACTTTTAAAAATCTCCATGGAGCAGTTTTTGTTATAGGCCATCATGTAGAACACCCAATGAAAATACACACATCAGTACAGAAACTCTTACATTCCCCTCTCCTGTGCAAGACTGAGGAAGATATCTGAGCCAAAGCTTTGCCCTGTTAAAAGCCCAAAAGATGCCAAGTGTTCCCACACCCCAGTCACAACCAGGTCAGCCATTAGCCAGCAGCTCAACTGGAATCCTGGCAGAATCCAGTTCATCAGGCAAAAAGCAGCATCTAATTCACCCTCAAAAACAAAGTGAAACAGAGACAGGCCTGATGTGAGCTGCAGTGCCACAGGGTGCAACATGATCACAACAGCAGAGCAGATGTTTGAATTCTTCCACAGGTCACACTCCTCTGCATTTTCTGTGCCAAAGCATTTCTGAAGTCTAGAAGTGCACTTTAGGCAAATGCGAATGCACATCTCCTTATATGCACATAAAAAGGAATTACATCACCTAATGCTGCTTCGTGCATTTCACCTACCCCAGAAGTAAAATTTAGGCTGATGGCACAGAAGTATTTGGCAAAAGGAAGCTCTGCAGTCACTACACTGGTAGGAGTGCTCTTCTGTGGGAGGAACATATTAGGCCTGGCCCTCAGGAGCTCTCGTCTCTCTTACAACAACGACAGCTACAGTCTGCTATGTTTCAGCTGTCTACGTGTGCACAGCTCCCATGTAAATACAACAGGAAGAACACAGATGTGGTTCACTTCTGCTACCAATTTTCCAAAGAGCTTTGGAAAATACGTGACAGTCACCTCTAACCCTTAAATTCAGCTCACTAAACAGAATAAATAGAGCAAATCTTCACTTTTTATGAAAAGTACATGGCCTTCCTGAAGGAATTTAAACATTTCCACTGCTGGGAGCAGTGTAATTCCAACAGACATCTTATGAAATCACTGCTGGACAGGGACAGCTTATCTGTGGTCACAGCATTTTAACACAGATTAATTTCTTTTACCAAGTTACTTTGGAAAGCCGTGAAATTCTCCTCGTGTGCCAGTGCCACATACAAAATTTAATTTTAAAAGGTCATTTTAAATATGTTCATACAGCTTTGCTGATTTATGTCTCCAGCCTGTTATTCAGCATCTTTTAATCACAGAGTGCAACAAGCAGTCTGAAATCTACTTGCAAGCTGAGGATGTCTAACAAAATTTGTTCTGCAATTTCAAAACAAATTTATTGTAGCTGCAAGCCAGTAGCAGCAGGCAATTTATGTCATAAATTATTTTCTCTATCGGCTGCCCTCACTGCTGACATACTTTTGATAATTGTTTGCTCTATTTTTGAAATACAGCACTCTTTCAAATTACAGTATTAGGTCAGTAAGATGGGAAGATATATTTCTTTAGGGGGAAGGGAAGACCCACACTTTTTCCATGTAAGAAAGGTAACAGCAATATTCTAGTGGATCTGTGCCCAAGTATATGCTAAGATGCTGTATTAAATGCAAACAATGTGTTCTTGTCTAACTGCATGATCAATCATATAACTTCTATTAATATTTAAAATGTACAAACAAATGAGTGTTAGAAAGTAATCAATATTCACACATCTATCATTCCCTTACAGCAACCTAGGGAAAAACACCTATCAGTCATGCTCAGTTTCTCCAACAGCAAGCTTCAATACGAATAGCTTTTATTTAAAATTTGGTTTTCCTGGCATATGGAACAGATAACTAGGGTTAGAAACGATGACACAGGCTGAGCAATACCTGTGTTCAGAGGAAAATAAAACAAAGTTAGCTTTAAACTGAAGGTAATTTTTGCTGGTATAAATATCATCTCAGGAAAAGAGATGATAACGACTAAAACGACTAAAAAGGTAATTTGTCACTGCTTGTTTATATCAAGCAATGAATCAGAAGAGCCCAGTGTACCCTGGCAGGGAGTATACCAATATGTTTTCAGTGCAAGTCCTGAATAACATCTTACACAGAACGTGACTTTGTCTTAATTACCTCTAGGCTTTATGAAGTTTGCGTTCTCCTCCTAATTTCTTGCAACCACCAAAAGTCTTCCACAGTTTGGTGCTACTAACACGTGCTAGTAGATTCAGCAGCACAGAGCCTAACTGTAAGCAGCAAGATAATCTGTGGCTTAAAAATAACTTGCAAGAGAAAAAGCAAGCACAGAGTTGCTTCTGATGTGGTTTTTGCCTTCACCACTCTAAATGAATAGGGCTCTGGCTCTCACTCAGCACTGTCAAGCCAGTATCTCCTAGCACTTTGAATGGGAACTTCAAGAGTATCATATTAAAGAAAGTAATTAAAAAGTAAAATAAATGGTTTTTGTTTCGTTTTTTTTTTTTTTTTTTACCCTGTTCCATCCCATCCCAAACATACATATGTACATGTGTTCTTAGCAACTCCTTTGGGTCTTTTTGCCAGGTTTTCTTCTGTAGACAAAGAAATTTTCAAGAAAGTAGAGAATCTTGTGCCATCTAGGCATAAGGATCAAATAATGACAAGACACAGTATCACAACCTGACACCGGTATACATAGACTAAGCTCCCTCCATCAAAAATTTCCCCTCTCCCCATCTCCCTGAAAAAGTGGAAAAAAACCCCAAACAATCAAAATCACAGTAACTGAATATTATAAACCTGTTGGGACTGTATCAATTTAGCCATAAAGACAGAAGGGAACATAAAGACAGAAGAGAAAGCCAGTATGAAGAAGAGAGATGAAAGGAGAAGACCAATGAGCAAATTGAACGTCTGTTGCAAAAAATACCAGCAGGGATAGCTGTCATATTCCATTTAAATAAATAAATAAGTACAAGAAAAGGTAAATACTTTTTGTGTGTCAGGAAAGACTAGAAAGTTTTAAGGAGTTTAATTTTCTTTTGATGTGAGCAAAACCACCACTAACACAAAGAAAACCCAAACAACAACAACAACAACAAAACAACAAAAAACAATGAGAATTGATTGGTTTCATTTAACACAAGTTCAAGGCATAAAACAGAATTTGAACGCACACTTGCAATATTGTTAACAGCATGGTCACTGTGTACCGCAGATGTAACAACATACAGCAGTGCACTACAATACCACCATTCTCCCTGCTTTCTGCAGCTAAGTACAAACAGTTCCACTCCTTTGGTCTTCATCTTCTTCCTCTTCATCCTCCCCAGCCATCTCTCCTTATGATGTACCAGGCAGACAAGTACCGAAACTGATACTGGAGGTGCAATGCACAAACTTTCAGCAGCAGGGGACACAACACTGGCTTAGTGAGATGTTGGTAGACACCTAAAGAGTCTGCACAGACACTTTGCAGAGTATAAAGCTAAACCACGTTAAATAGAAAGCCTCACTGACTCACAAAGTCCCTGAGCCACACATTGCTAAAGGCTAGGACAACTCTTAGAAATCTCTCTCTATGCTCCCGTTGTTCTTGCAACTCTTTCCCACACATCTGCTCCTTGCTTCTGTTAGAAGACAGGGCAAGACTAGCCCTCAGCATAATGGCTTACATCCTTAATTGTGCTGCCACAACAAATCCTGCAGTTTTGTACCCTGCAAGCTGGTGTAAGGCAGCATGAAGTCACACCAAGATATGCCCCTCATCCCTAAGCATCCACCCACTCCTGTGCTGCACCAAACAAAGTACTGGGAAGCCAACACAGTAAATCCAGTTAGGAAACTAACCTAGGATGAAAATTGGGGTTGGGAAGTGCTGGTTTTTAGCATCTGTTTGGTGTGAACCTAGCTTATGATGAACCTTGACTGGTTACCCCTACAGGGACATGTACTGCTTTCCTGTGTCAAGACATCTACGCAAGTAAGAGCACATGGGAATCATTTCTTCCTAGAACATTTTCTGGGAAGTAAAACCACAGTATATTAATCAAGACTGAAATAGTTTAAAAAATAATTATAGTAAAGATATATCAATTCCTAAAAGAAATTCTAAGATTAGCAAAGACACAAATTGAATAATAACTCAACATTTAAAGACAGGAAGAACTATTTTCAGTTAATACAGTACAGTAATTGTACCATAGTTTATGTGGTGGTTTTCCTATGTGTAGGCAGCAATACACAGAATTAAAACATAATCCTGATTATCTTGGGAAAATTATTAAAAAACATCATTGAAATTATTGAAATTCAATTCAACCAGACAGCACCAACATAAAACAAAAGAACTTTGACCTTGCAGGCCTTTGCTGGTTTGTACAGAAATAATCCTTTAATTTCCTACAATGGCATTTTGTGAAGAAGGTCCTAACCATCTACAATAGCTTTATCTACAAAATTGCAGTCACTGGGGTAGCCTGTTGAATTTTGTAGGTCTAAAGCACCACTGTATAACAAGCACTACTGAATAATGAGGGAGAACGCTTTTAGCTTACACATCTGCCGTGAACAGATCTCCCTACATTTACTGCTGCCTTTGATGATATTCTCAGGCTCTGAGCTTGGCCCCAGACATGATAGTAGGTAGAATTGTTCCACAGTAACCTGAAGTCAACAGCCACCTCAGCAATAAGCAAGACCTTAAAATGTGTGTGTTCTGTGGTGGTTTTTTTTTTATGTTTTTGGTTTGTTTGCTTTAAGGCAGACCTCATGATTATAATTTAAAGGGGCCAAAGTGGTGACTAAACATACAGAAAAAGCAAAGTGCTCAAAGGAAAAGCTCAGAGAAGAACAGCCCAAAGAAGTCACATTCAAACAAACCAAGTTCAGGAGTTTTGACAACAGCCAATAGCAAAATTGGAAGAAGATGCTATAGAAGACTGCCAAAAGGAGGCATTAGTCTGCTTTCTTAGGAGAGTGAAACAGTTTCCTAAATCCAGATTATCATTACCATCACAGAATCAAGTTAAACTAACTAAAGAGAGGTGCTAGAATCATCTCCATGACCTGACAGGTGAAACAAGAAAAACTGAAAACAAAGGCACACGTAGTCCTAGCCTGACATAATAGTATATTCAGTTGTTGATAATTAATTCATCCACTCTTTATTAGTTATCACTTGGTTACTGCTTTCACACCAGATCTCTTTCATTCTAGAGACAAAAGAGTGTGCATGAGTCTAGCTGCATGTTTGCTAGACTTGCAAGATGATTCTAAAGGGAAACAAATTCTACAGTTTACTGGGAAAGAATCACAGAGCAGCTCACCTTTCTGCAACACGATCAACCAATAGGTACCTAGCAAGTGCACAGAAAGAAACAAAAGTAAAACCTCCACAGGTTAAAAATCTTCATCAGTTTTAACTGCAGTACTTATAAAAATTTCTATGAACATTCAAGAAATCTTCGTCTTCATGTACTCCTACTGCACTGATTTAAGTTCATCTTGCTTAGTGTGCACAAGAACTGAATGACATTTGAACAGATATATTACCTTCTTGTCCCAGTTTGGGCTGGGATAAAATTAGTTTTCTTCATTGCAGCTGGTATGGTGCTGTGCTTTGGATTTAAGATGTTTCAATTCATGCAGAGCAGTGCTTACACTGTGTCAAGGGCTTTCCAGCTCCTCATGCTGCCCTGCCAGTGAGGAGCCTAGGTATGCAAAAGAAGCTTGGAGTGGACAATTAGGACTGACCAAAACTGATCAGAAGGTGCTGTGTTCAGCAATATAAGCTGGATGAAATAAAAAGGAAAGTGGGAACATGTAGTGATTCAGGGGAATGGCGGTTATCTTCCCAAGAAACTATTACATGTAATAAGACCTGTTTTCATGGAAGCAGCTGAACATCCACCTGCTAACAGAAAGTAGTGAATAAATCCCTTCGTTTGCTTTACTTGTGTATATATCTTCTGCTTTATCTAGTAATTTGTATTCACCTCCACCCACGAGTTCTTGCAATTTTATCTTTCCAATTCTCACCCTGTCCCACTGTGCGAGGTGAGTGAGCAGTTGTGTGGTACTGCATTGCCTGCTGGGGTTAAGCCACAACAATTACAAATAAACCAAACATTTTACTTGTGTGTTTTTTCCCCACATCCAAGAAGAGGAAGCTTATTTAAAATGCTAATCAAAACTTACCCCCAGGACTCCAAATCTTTCACAGAAATTCCAGCCACAGAGAAAGTCAATTTCAAAGTTGTGATTTAGAATTACAATGGCATTCTCCTTCCCATACTTGTGGTAACTCTCTGGATCAGTGTAGAGGGTGCAATCGGTGCCTGACCACCATTCCAGTAGCATTACCATCTCTAAAATAAAGAACAAAAAATAAACGGAGTTACAAACTATATGCAAAGTCACAAATTAGTAATGTACTGAAAAAACACCAGTTGCCTCAACACATGGTTAAAAAAAAAAGGGGGGGGGGGGAGGACACAGCAGGGAGCAGGAGAGAAAAAGGAAATAAGGAGGTAGCATGGCAGGAGAAGGAATTTTCTACAGCGACACTGAGAAAAGGAGTTTCATTTGAAAATTACAAATTTAACATTAAAGTGGTAATACAGTGGTATTATCAAAATACGTGTAAAATTAGCATTTATGGTTTACAGTACTACAAAAAAATCACATGAAGATCAAAACAAGCTTGCAGGAGGAATAAACAGGCCTATTTCCCCTGTACACAGGTTCCTGTACTCCTAGGAGTTCTGCACACAAAACTTCTGTAAAGCACTGACAGCAAACAGGACCCCAATCCATGTCAGATTCAATTGGCTTCAGGCAAGGTAGGCTCAAACTGCAGTGCTTTCAGAAAGTCTTACTTGTAGCATAGGTGATAGTACAGCCAGTGACTGCATTTTGTATTCAGTCTGACTGCTCATGCTGGTAGCTCAATGACAGTTCCAAGCAAAGAGCCAGAGCTGGCAAACCCACAGCATTCTCCCCTTCAAGGCATACCCAGAGAAGGTACTGGTCCTCAAACTCACCCAGAAAAACTCATCCATTCCAAAGGGGACTGGTGTCTGAGGTGCCCTGCACCCATAGCAGACTTCAGCACCTATGCAACAGAAGAGCTACAGCCTGGGAAAGTTCCTTCCAAAGCAGTGTGCCCATCCCAGACAACTGGGAGAAAACACTGATATCAGCTTTTGCTACACTGTGTCAGGACTAAATCCTCCATCCTGAAAACGTCTGTATTGTTCAAGGTGACATGAATTAGGGCGTGGATTCAAATGTGGCCACAGTAAATTGAAAGGCTGCATTTTAATTTGACAGCTGGAATCGACAACATGGATGTGCATCCATGAATGGTACCTGTAAGCACCTAGTTCAGTGGGATTTCCTGGTTGTAAGGTTTTGATCCGTCACTGCCTTATTTTATTCAGCTGATGGTGTTTCTATTTTGTTTTCCCTCCTCCGCTCTAATACTTCTCAAGTTTCTTCAAAATGCCCAGAGTTTACATGAAACTGGCGTTAACAAACTGACAAAAGAAACAGCCCAGACATATCAGAGCCTTCCTAAAGCCACCCAGAGTCAGATCTAGGAACAGATACAGGTTAACACTGAAGCTAGCACACTTCACCCCCCAGTCTCCTCTGCCATACAAATGTCTGTCCCAACATAAAGCCTGTGATGGGCTGGGCTGCCCAAAGCCAGCCGGCAGAACCCAGAACACCAGCCTCCAGCAGGCAGTGAGGCACAGGGTCAATCTTCTCACTTCCACTTAACTTTCAAAAGTCATTTAACTTTGTCCATGTAAGTGTAACATGAGTACCCCTCCAGACTGCTTCATCCTTCTGCTTTTTACGTATTCTGTGTAATACAATTTTGATTTGGCCTAAAGTGAGACTGGTGTCCAAATATCACCATTGTTCAGTCACATTTAAGTACCCAAGACACTTTGAAAATGACCCTTCAGCATTTAGAGAAGTTGTCTCCCAAGCCCCAGAAACAGGCTTTGTGGAACAAGCCAGAGAACTGGAGCAATGTTCAAAAGTTGCATGTTGAGAGGATCAATTTAAAATTTTGTTTTACTGTATTTCCTTAATTCTATTCACTTCTTTATAGACATGCTTCTGCCAGCTGGGGCTGTCCAGCAGAACTTCTCACATGAACATTCTCCTAATTCTATACTACACTGTCAATGTCCCATCATTAAACAGAGATCGAATTATATATCATATGGCAAAACTCTTGATTTTCTGTTGAGAATTACGCTGCCACTCACTATGGTGTTTGTCAAACAAATAATAAAAAGAAGCGGCATCTAAAATCATGAATTAAGTGGCAAGCAGGTGAAAAAGAAGCAATTGTGAATCGATTATAAGAAACCATTAACAGAAGAACTTCTGAAGACAGTACAGTTATAGACTAGAAAGTAGCTTGGACATCTGCAATGAGGTCTGCTGCACGTACACCTTATGCATCATCCTTTTAACCTGTCAGAAGTAGCAGTTGTATGTTCCGCTACAGCAGATGTGCTCTGCGTTTGGCACGAGTGTATCAATCATTCATAGCAAAGTCAATAGCTCAGACAGGATACAGAACTACCATCCCTAGGGCAAAGATAAGGGGTTGGCTGGCAAAATGCGCACAGCCAAGGGGAATTATTAATATGAAATACATCTGTACATCTTTCCCTGATAAAACAGTTAAGCAAAGGGAGTGGATAGAGGTGTGGAAAAAGCCTGCACCAAGAAAATCAGTGTTAAATGCCTCAAAACTGCTCTGGATTAGCATTCAGATTTATTCCTAAAACTTTAAGAAACAAATACTAGGAGAGATAAGACAGTAAGAGCATTTTAAAAAAAAGTTGTACTTAACAGCTGGAGAGTCATTCCTCAGCAATCTCCTAGTGACTATCACACAGGTTTTACCTTCTTATTTGCTTATCCTATCACCAAGCACAGGCTTCATATTTGTTTTGCTTGTAACTACAAGCCTGACTACTGGACTTGTGAATTTAACCTTTATTTAACAAAATTTCTCTTGTTTCGGGCAAGAAGCTTTATCTCAATAGAGAGGGAAATAAAAAAGCAGTGGCTGTCCTTGAGGAACCCATGTCGTGGGAAGATCTAAAGGGTGATAAAAAGACATGTTTGCTTTCTGTCAAAGCTATCATAATACTTCTCCACCAAGCAAAGGTCTCATGTGAGGCACTGCTCTATGCTCAGAGAAAAGCAACCTTTTCTCAGAGCATATGTCTCTGCTGGAAGGATGAGACATCTGAGGTGCTCTCCTGGCTTCAGGTAAATCCGAGGGCACCACACATCCTCATTCACCTCAGAGAAGATCAAAAGCAGGCCAGTCTTTGAACAACTTCTGAAATCCTTTCTGTTTAGATTCCCCACTGGCTTCAACTAGTGAATGAAAACAGAGAACAGTCAGGAACAAGTTTTCTACATGTTCAGTCATTATTAGCTCAATTAAAAAGCTTTTATATGACATTTTGCTGTACACTGAAGAACACTAGTGACATGAATGAATTTTATCTAACAGTGTTGATACAGGCTAACAGACAATCTCTATTCAAATAACATTACCTTAACACAATATAAATACATTCAAGGTACAGACAAGTGACTGACTCATCAGCCCCCTGTTTATTTCTGATCAGAGCAGGTGTAAGAGAACTATTTGGTCGTGGCTTGAACTGGTAACTCAGCATCTGGTGAGGGATGTGGCTGGCCTAGGGAGCACACGCACACTGTTTGCACCTGCACCCTCCCTGAGACCAGAAGGGATGGACAAAGAGTGGAGCCACTCTGGAGTTGTGTTAAGAGCCTGACTCTGACAGAAGAGCATCTCTTGGACCTAGGATGCTTCATAGCCAGAGAAATCCTTCACCAGTTGCCCAGAACTTCCCCAAACACAGGGAAACTGAGTAATTTAAAAAAAAAAAAAATTGCAAACATTTACAGAATTTACAATCACATTTTAGGACAGAACACTGAGAAGGAACTTAGAAACAACCTCTTATTTGTCTGTTACTTTGCTAACAACATTAGCTAATGAAAGAACAAGTGACTCCCAGACAGGATTTTCTCTTCTTTCATCTTTACTGCCATTAATTCTATTGCCTTAAATAAATGAATAAATAAATACGTACATACATACATACAGAGATGGTGGCTATGAGGCTCTTGAAGAAAAAGCCAACTTTACCTGAGGGGGAAAAATATATCCTCAAAGTCATTCCCTTTCAAGTGTCTATTTTTTCAGTTTTTCCCAACAATTTGAACAAAATGAATAACGTATCAGGCATCTCACTACACAGGTATGCCACATGCATAGAGCTCTTCATATTTTCAGTCTCAAGTACATTTCAAAGAAGCACAGACAAAAATAATTCTGTACATACTTCTGATTCTGCAGGCTTCACATGACCAGGATCTGTGTTTGAATTAAGTACTGTAGAAGTACGTCCCTACTCCTTACCTCACATGCCTATTTCTCGCTGGTGCAATCCTGCAGTTGCTGCAGGGACACAAAGCAGAAACTGAATGCTTTTGTAAATAACATCTTACAGCCTTTCAGTTTTTAACACTTGCTTTTCTTCAATCTTTCCGCTCTTTCTTTTCCCTTCTCGCCACATCCCTTCTCTTCATGGCTCTCAGCAGTGACTAGTAATGTCACTTTACAGTACCCTTGCATTATGCTACCAGCGTACACCCAGAATCTGCCACAGAAATTTATTACCCAGAAACTCCCTGTGGTAGCTCAACAGCACAAGCTCACTCATATATGCACTCCTGCCAACTCCACAGAGCAGACAGCCAGTGAAAGCTGCCTTTTCTTTGTACACCAGCCAGGCTATGTAACTAAACATCAGTTTACATAGGAAAAAACTTAAAATACAATTCTTGCTCCCAACCAGGGCTGGTCCAAAATTTCTAGAGTAAGTCTTTTTCCTACCCCTTTTTGAAGAGGTTTGAGAGGCTGAATTTCACAACTAGACTGGTCAACTCACATTCACCCACATCATGGGAGTTCTCAGCTTACAAACCAACTCTTTCACTGACACTTCCACACAATTCATGCATAGGGGAAAAGAAAAAAAAAAAAATTGAAATCTCTCAGTCTGCTTGGAAGGGAACATTCCTGCAGTAAGCTACAACCAGCTTCAGGAGGGGCTGACGAGGGAGAAAACATGCTTTCATATCTCTATTACTGATTCTTTGTTTCCCTGAGAATGTCTAGGTTTTCTACCCCGAAAGAAAAAAACAAAAAACAAAAAACAACTACACCCTGCTACAGATAACTGGCATCTACCCTTTGTGAGGTTAGACTGCTTCCTGCCCCATCAGTACC